CCCCTCCCCAGGTCGCCCCGCCTCCTTTCATTCATCTTTCGGTCCCCAGCCGGCAGGTCCCTGCTGGGCGCGGCGAGACCGGGTTGTGCTGTCTGATCAGGTGTAGACACCCAGGAAAGTCGCCTCCGTTTCCCAGTGGGGAGTCCGTCTGACCCAAGAAAGCGAGAGGCGAAAGACCCAATTCAGAGCTGGTGCACCGTGGGGACGCTGGTGATGGCCCTGGGGAGTCCTCGCCCTCTCTAGGAAGCCTGCAGTGAGGACGGCGGGGCGGCGGAAGGCGATGCCCACGTCTCAGGGCCTCCAGCTTTCCTGGACGCAGGACCTGGGACGGGAGCGCACCCTGCCAGCCTGTGAGTCCCTCCCCGGTCCAGGAGCGGATGCAGGGGAATAGGGCTTGGGCTGAGTCAGCTGACCGAAGGATTGAGCTGTAGGGTGCAGCACTACAAGGGCAGAGCGCCCGCCTGGAAGGGGACAATCCTAGGATTGCTGGATTCGGGCAGGGGCACTCTTATCTCCCCCACAGCATCTCATTGGCCAGGAAGTTGTGGGCCGAGGTGAGCTGCAAGTCCAAGTTCACCCACTGACCGCAGGCAGAGCTAGCTCGGTGTGCAGCTGCGGTCGGGCAGGGCTAGAGCAGGCAACACTCAACAGTTCCCCAGGCGGGGAGAATTTTAGGTTTCTTTTTTCTTTCTTCACACGGAGCTACATCCCTAGTCTGCTCTTTTGTCTTTCTTTCTTTCTTTCTTTCTTTCTTTCTTTCTTTCTTTCTTTCTTTCTTTCTTTCTGTATTAGGGATTGAACTCAGGGTCTTCATACTGAGTCACATCCTTGATCATTTTCTTTTCTTTTTCCATTCTTTTTTGAGACAGGGTCTTGCTATGTAGTTCAGGCTTGAACTCACCGTGTAGCTCAGGCTGGCCTCTTCCTGACTCAGCCTCTGAAGTGCTGGGATTACAGTTATGTGCCACCATGCCCAGCTTTTTTGGTACTTAGAGTCCAGGTGGATGCTGGTGCTCTCGTGCCTGCTGGTTAGATGATTCCCGGGTGATGGCCATGAAGTGTCCCCAGGACGCATGAAGGAACTCAGAGGTGAGACAGCAGGGTTGGACTTGTTTTTCTCCTAGGGTCTAGGATATATATGGTCCTAACAGGAAACAAGCCCACTTGGCAGAATGTTTATTTTACAGACATTCTTCATTTGACACTTGAGTTTCATTCCTTTGATTAGGTCGTTAAATGAGGAATTGTATATAGTATGTACATTACAATACTCAGAACAAAGAAATGGTCAAAGGAAACTCTGACTTGGTGACTTTGCTTCTACTTGCATAGATCTTCCATGCAGTACTGTAACGTATAACAACATAAAGCTATAGTACTGTACCATACAGTATAATCAGCAAGAATTACAGTACTGTATCAACAAGGTATACTGTACAAAAAAAACCCCATTGCAGCTCTATAAACAAGATGTACAGAACTGCTAGGCATGGTGGCGCATGCTTGTAATTCTAGCACTCAGGAGGCTGACACAGGAGGATCGCTGAGAGTTTGAGACCAGCCAGGGCTACACAGTGTGTTCAAGGCCAGCTTGAACTACATAATGAGACCCTGTCTCCCCACTCCAAGGAAAGGGTCATAAATCCAAGTTTCAGGTTGTGAGTCTGAACAGTGTGCCTTAGTCACAGGTCTGAAGCTCATTAAACAGATAAGTCCTTAAACAAGGAATATCTGTGTTTATCTACTTTAGCAACAGGCTCTTGCTATGTTGCTCGGACTAGTCTTTTTCTTCTTTTGAGACAGGTCTCACTATGCAGTGTAAGCTGGCCTTGAATTTTGCTTATGTAGCCCAGGCTGGCCTCAACTCACAGTGATCCTCCTGCCTCAGCCTCCAAAGTCCTAGGACTACTGGTGTGCGCTACCATGCTCAGCTCAGACTAGTCTTGAACATCTGGGCTCCAGTGATCCTGTGGCTCAGCATCGAGAGTAGCAGGGATTAGACAAACCCCATGCCCAGCAGCACCTTGTTTTATAAAGAGGATGATTACGGGGCTGGGGATATAGCTCAGCGGCACAGCGCCTGCCTGGCAAGCACAAGGTCGTGAGTTCGATTCCCGGTATTGGAGAAAAACCAAAAAAAAAAAAAGAGAATGATTACAATGTGTAGGGCAGAGTTGAGGGAGACCAGGAAGGACTGGCAAAGTTGTGAAAGGTGGCAGAGAGGCAGGAGATTCGGGCATGATAAAGCAGCTGGGCAATTGGGCATGACCTGTCAATCATGGAGACCTGTCACTCACAGAGATTAGGACACATGCGCAGAACAGCTTCTGGGGCCTGAGTCTGATACCAGTCAGAGAATGCTGTCTTCCGATCTGCTGGAACAAGAGCAGGCCGAGCCCCACACCTGGTACCAATCTTCTGGCACAAAATCGAGGAAGTTTTTGACGGGATGGCCTAGAGCTGACATTGTTATAAGAGACAGTGGCCATTTAGCTCTTGGCTGCTGGGAGCCTATTCACAGGCCCACCCTGCACCCCACGGTGCGAGCTCTCTTTCCTACTTTAACTGGCCCGCACTTGCTCTGCAGAGCACACTTCCTTTTTATTCTTTCTTATCTTTAATAAATGTAAGCTTTTGTGTTCTTTGTGCTGTCTAATTCTTTGAACAGGACAATAAGAGCCTGGAAAAGACCATTTGCTACCACAGCATCAGACAACAGCAGCAGACACCGGCCCAATGCAAAGAGGCTTAGCGAGGGTATAACGGGGGGTTGGAGTTGAGCAGGGTGGTATATGCCTGTAGTCCCGGCACTCAGGAGGCCCAGGCAGGAAGATCACTGAGAGAACGAGGCCACCATGGGCTATATAGTGAATCCAAGGCCTGAACCACATAGCGAGACCTTGGAGCTAAATATAAGGTTGGCTGAAATATCTGGTGAATGTTTAAATTTTTAAAAACTTTTACAGTAAGAGACACATAGCCGTAAATCTCCCTCAGAATATTCCCCCTGCATCAAGAACACACTTATCGGGGCTGAGGATTTAGCTCAGCGGCACAGTGCCTGCCTGGCAAGCACAACGTTGTGAGTTTGATTCCTGGTACCAGAAAAAAACAAAAAAACAAAAACAAGAACACACTTATCCCATTGTTTTTGCCACTTTCTGAAGTAGT